CCCCCCCCGGCCCCTCCCCTAGATCCGCCACTGCATATGTCGTTGTGAAAACCAAGCTTCAAACAAATTGCCCTAACTTTTCAAATACCGCACTTACATGAAATCCAGTCCAACCAATCCCGTCCTCGCTGAATCTTAGACCTCTGGTATCTAGATTTCGATGTGATTTTCTTTGTACCCCGTCAAATAAAGTAACATTAATTCTTGAAATAAATCTTCGATAAAGCAGATCGAATTCCAACCAAGGTGGATTCTTGCGTTTATGCCTTTCAAGGCACCATTTCGTCTCGGATCCCTTTCCATCTGTTCCATAGTACTTTAGGTACCTCTGTTCAGTACAAAAAAAAAAAAAGACAAAAAAAAGTCGCTCAGAAAAAGGTGACCGGCACAGCCAGTGCCAAACAGCTTACACAGCGATTATTCTCTAGGACAATATCCCCACTTGCCTTAAAGTAGCTCAGTCACAGTATTTTGAGTTAGTTTGGCAACATACACAAAATTACATTTAAATTGAAGGAAACCTGAAAATAATAGTTTACCAAGATAGAAAAACACTAAAGAGATAATAATAAACCATAAAGGAACACGGATGGCTGAGGATGGAGAAGATTTACATGGATTGGAAACGACGAAGTTGAAAAATTTAGGCCTAACTTTTCAAGATGCACGAACTGTAACGTAGCTCCCTTAAAGATCTCAAAGCCTTCAACTTCTCTAAAAAACTGAAATTTTATTTACTGTCTCAACAACATTCTGAAAATTTTACCATGTACACATGTCTTCTCTGAACAGTTCTGTATTTTCTTAAATATCTATTGGAACCTTACAATAATTGGAGACTGGCTAGAAAACTTTCGGGTCACTTCAACTCAAGAATCAAATTGTACATTTTTTTCTGTCCTTCTATTTATATGGATTTGTTTAATTTGTAAGCGTGCGGGTGAAAAAAGTTGTTGTTGTTGTTGTTGCAAAGTCAGATAAACAAATATCGCTTGTACAGAATGCGAACAAACAGGTTGTTTCCCAAACGTGGAGTAATGTGTAGATGGTGGCAAGTTTCTCGAAAACTATTTTTTACAGATAACGATAATCACTGAAAAGTATTATTAAATGTTACTTACGGCTGAATTGAGCGTCAGCTGCCAGTATTGTACGTCAATTTGATTAACATAATGACAGTCAGCTGTAAAGACAAGTGAATTGATAAATTTAAGATCTTTTCTTCTTTGCTGTACATGCTTCTATGTATAGGTAATCGTGTAAATGCAAATGCAATTAAGGATCTACACTACGACTGATATTTGAAAATTCTCTTAAAATTGCATATATGAGCCTTACGGCGAGTACAATTTGAAAGAATTTTCAAATATCACTCGATTACTCATTTATTATATGACTGAGAAAATTGCGAACGCGCGCGCGTTACTTGGCCTTTCAGTGTAAATTAATAATAAATGATAAATTGGCCTGCTCTCAGCCGATCACAATGAAGTAATTTCTCAGTTACATAAAAAATAATTTCACCTCGTAAATACACATTTTTCTAAGAACAAGAAAATGGCACGCGCGGCATATTAGAAATCAATTCTGCTTAGATATCCTGACATTTACGATCTTTTTTCGCCAATTACAATGCTCGATAAGATATGAAAAATGCAAAAACGACGCAGAATTGATAAATAAATTGAATTTTTTAAAGTTTCATAACTTTAAAGTGTTTTTCCTACCTATGTTTATGGATCTTTGTGGTTGCATTAGTTGTATGTTACCCATGGCCCAGTCTAGAAGAACAGGAAACAACGTCAACAAACGAAAAAAATCGTCAGTGGTCTGGCTATTAAGTGCCCTTGACATTCTTTGCACGTTATAAGGAAAAGATCTCGAAGTCTAAACACTCATCTTTGCTGTAAGACTACTGTATCACGAACAGCACTTCTCGGCAAATTTTGCTTAAGTTTTTCTTTTCGAATTTTTAATCCATCTTTTAATTTAAAACCCCTCCACATCTTAGCTCGCCTCGTTACCATGGGATTGACTTTAAATCTTAACTGTAACATCTGTGTTGTTTTTATTAATTTGTCAACAATTATTTTAATTTTTTTTGGTAGTTTTATGTGCATTGTCAAAAAATGGTTTGACTTGTCGCTACTTGCCTTTGCCGCACTACTCACGTGACTCGCATCCATACAACTCCATACTAAGACACTGATGACGTCGCCACGCGTGAATCCTCAGGCGGAAAAATCGCGCGTGTAGGAGAGGATCGAAAGACTGGTAACCAGCCCTGGCCTCGAACTCATTTTTACGGACAGACTTGTCTTCTCGTATGGTGTGAAAATGCTGAAATACAAAAAAAAAATTATGTCTTTATACCAATAAATTTAAAGGTAAACATTTGGAACAGATAACAAGGAAACAGCAAACAGACTGCAACGGTTTGTAGAAGTGCAAACTAGCAGCTTAAGCGCAGGCTAACATTTCAACTTTTTCTATCCACAGAAAGTTTAAATCTTCTTCAATAGTAATCATACTGTCCACGTGCGAAAAATTTTACTTTTATTTCTACCACCAAGTGCTTTAAAACTCAATGGAGACGGTTTAAGAACCATGTACTTTGATAACATGGTGTTTTGTTGTTGGGCGATACACTTTACTCTCACAGAGCTTCGTTCTTCTCCTAAGAGCATGAACGGCGCGCGGTGCGGCTAGCGGCCAATCGGCGCCAAGGTAATTTGACTGCAAAATACTGAGGTAAACGATCGTTGGACTAGCATCCCATCCGGAGGGACTAGTGATAGTCTTAGCTGCTTCATGCTGCAGAAACCGAGTTTAATAAGGAGACTTCCATCAGCAGTTAGGGACTAATATCTCTTACCCGAGGCAGGCCATTCTCATCTTTAATCACAGTCCAAAGCCGGCCGTCAGGGCTAAATTCTACACTGTAATGAGTGACTCTGGAATTCCATTCTACATCCGGGGGTGCTTTACTATGGCCCCATTTCCATCCTTCTATAAGAACCCCTGAAATCAGCTTCATTGAACCTATCAGGAGCAGAGGTGCCAGAGAAGGAAAATACAATAAAAAAGTCACAATCGCTAAAAATAACATTTTACTGTACACCCGAATTCACTTGTGTTTTGTTTTATCAATGTATACTTTATTATCTAACTGATAAACTTATTTGATTATCCTCGTTTCTTGAGAAATTTTGTTCTAAAAGGGCGTGACCAACTTATACGAGTCTGACATGAATTCGTCTCAGTATTTTAAAGCAGTTTAATCCTTCTATGTTCCGATGATAGTCCGAGACTTATACGATGATAACCCAGGTTGGTTGGACTATATTCTGAGGCTTATCCGACGATATCCGAGCTATTTGGGATAATCCAATAACAGCCCGAAGCTAACCCGACGATGATCGACGGTTATCCGACCAGAGACTAAGACTAATCCGACGAATATCCGACGATAATCCCGAGCTAGCTGATCTATTATTGTCGGAGCTAGTGTACTCCGACGAAAATCCTAAGCTGGCGTGATCGATGATAATCTGGGACTGCTCGATTACAATTCGACGATAATCGCATGTAAGGCCAATGAAATTCCGAGGTTTTACCCAACGCCCGAGCTAACACTAATACTCCAGGCTAATTCGACGATAGTCGCAAACTAGTTCGTCGAGAATCCGAGGTTAGTCCAACAACAATTCCGTACTAGTCCAATTACAGTCCGAGGATAATCCGACAGTCCATAATACCACGCTACCCCTTTGAAGGATAGCGGAAAATAGTAGGTTTACCCAGGTCCACTTGTACCCATTCCCCAAAGCGATTGCCTGAAGAGGTGCACCATGGATCTCCATCTTTCACAACTCGGCGTCGGTCTCCATATTTGTCGTGCTCAGAGGAAACTCTGATGTGTCGGCCCGGATGAAAACCTTCGCTTCTCAGCAAACGTTTCATGCAGTCTGCGAACAGTATAAACAAGTTGTCATTATTAGTTACTGTGCTTTAATAGAAAGCATGCAGTTTCTTGATGCTTTCAGTTGGTTTGTTTG